TACAATTAATAAAGTAGCATCTAATTCATACATGAAAAGACCAATTTGTTTTATATTTTCTGGACTAGGATCTCAGTGGTCTGGAATGAGTAAGTCTCTGTGTGTGTGTGCGTGCGCGTGTGCGTGTGTGTGTGTGTGTGTGTGTGTGTGGGAGGGGAAGAAAGGCGGGTGCGTGTGTGTCCATTAGAGGATTAAACAATTTTTATTAATATTTTTATTAAAATTTTCACAGGTCAAGCTTTAATGAAATTTCCAGTGTTTGCCAAGGCAGTCCACAAGTGTGATGTGGCTTTGAGACCTTATGGTATATTTCTTACAAATATTTTAACAAGTGCAAATGAGAGTACTTTCGACAATATCATTAATTTACTTTTAGCTCTCGTTGGTCTGCAGGTAAAAAAAAATTTTTTTTGTTTAATACATATATATATTTTATATATACAGGGTGATTTTCGCAACTCTGTTTACAACGCTCGTGAGAAGGTAGTAGAATGGATTGAGATGATCAGAAAAGTCCTGTACCATTTTGCCATTTACCATTATAATATACATATATCAAGCCCATGTTTATTGGAGGGGAATATGTTAATCTAAATAATTATCATTTATTTATTTACTTTGCGCGCCGTTCGTGCGTAGCCATTGCCGATTGCGGTAAACAACTTTCCGTGCGCCTGACAATATCGATCGCTGGGTGGTCATATCTTGTCACGCGCTCCATTTGGGCGGCCGGGCTAAGATGATGCCTTTTAAAAATTAGTTACTCGTTAACTATTGCGAAAATTGCAAAATTGTACAGGACTTTTCTGTTCATCTTGATCCGTTCTACCTTCTCATGAGCATTGTAAAAGGAGTTGTGAATCACCTTGTATATTTTTTAACATATACAATATTTCTGTCTGTGTATACATATACAAACACAATTAAAAATTACATAATAGCTAAATAATAATTATTATAAATTTTAACATATTTAATTCGATATTATTTAAATAAATTTTTAAAAAATAAACAATTAATAAAATTCATAAGGGTTTGATGTAAAATCAGATTTGAAGGAATAAAGGAGTAACAGCTCAGACAGAATATTAATGTCTAAATAATTTTAATTCTTTAATTTATTGTAAAAAATATTACCTCAGGGTAATATTGTATTATATTATCATGGTTTGAACCATACACCTCACTATTAGGCGGACGTCTCATCAATTTGATCACCGAAACATGTGGTTATATTCATAAAAAGTAAAAGTGAATAAAAGTTTACTTATTATCATTTAAATAAGATTTAGAAGCGGATTTAGAAGAAAAATCTCTTTTATATGTATGTTACAGATTGGAATGGTCGATCTTTTAACATCCATTGGTATCATTCCCGACTTCATAATCGGTCATTCCATTGGCGAATTACTCTGTGGATATGCCGATGGATGTTTGACAACTGAAGAAACAATTGTGTCGGCATATTTCATTGGTTTAGCACTTCTTGAATCGAAAATAATTAATGGTTCCATGGCTGAAATTAATATCAATCTTAAAACCTTGAAAGATATGCGTCCTTCGGACATTGATGTAGCTTGTTACAACGGCTCTTCTAATTTTATCGTGAGCGGACCAAAAGATTCAATAAAAGCATTTCTCACCAAATTACGGGTACATATTTAAACAATATAGTAAATATTATCTGTTTGTCTTTCTTAAATCATATAAATAATATTTCTGATATACTATGAATACTATTTG